ATGTGTTCCTTGGCTTTTTCTGCATTTTATCTGATCTCCTGAAGAGTTCTGTATGTTAATCTTTTGTATTCTGCCTCTGGTAATTCCAAGAAATTCTCTTCCTCCGGAAAATTTATTGATTATCCTGGGAGCTTGCTGAAGCCATCATGGTCTGCCTCTTTATGTGATTTGATATTGACTGTTGTCTCCAAGCCATTAATATTTATTTATTTTATGTTTGCTTACTGTGTTCTAGCTTCTTGTTTTGTTTCGATATGCCCAAACAGGCTGCTCATGTGAGCTAGTTTGATTATTGGCACCTTTGAAGCTCTAACGTCCTCTCACCAAGTGTTTAGATCTGTTACTAAGTATGTGAGCCCAGGAGTCCATTTACTTTTCTTGTATGGATTCAGCTCAGGTGTCCAGGTAGTTGGTCACCAAGTGCATGGTGCAGGCTCTCACCTACAGTCCTAGACAGGCGGGGGTGATTGGTGTAGGCACAGGTATCTGGCTGCAGTAGGGGGTCACATGCTGAGCAAGGCAGGGAGCTGACAGCTGCGCCTGAGTGTCTAGGAGGAAAGCGTGTCCCTGTTCCCCAGAGCACATAGGTAGGTGGGTTTTGCAGCTGGACTATGAGCACCCAGTGCTGTTGGCTGTAAGGACTGGGGGGCACCACTTATTCTTGGACCCCTGTTGCAGATGGCTAGGTGGCATGGGTGGAGCCATCAGTCCTCAGGCCCCTGATGTGGACAGGTGAAGACCCTGCTTAATGGGCAGAGCAGTGTCAAATGTCACAAACCTGCCACTTCACAGCTGAAACAGTTGAAGTTAGATATCAGGTGTATACCCTGTTGTACTGTGGTAATGAGGGCCTACACTGTTAAAATGGGCCCACACAAGTCTATGCAGGGGTGAAAGGCATTCAAAGTCTGTGGACCCCTTATGCCTATGCCTAGGCAAAGCAGCTGTGCCTACCCTGAGTTCCTGGCTTAGGTCAGCGGGCAGATTATTATATTTTCCCTGTTTGTTAATTTGTTCCCTCTCCAAGGCAAGGAGAGTGGCTCAGGGCACGTAAAGGGTCCTATTTCCGGCCCAGGGGACTCAGCAGTCGCTGAAGCTGGCCCGGGACCTAGTGCAGAGCAGGGAGGGGGAGGTAAATAGGAGAGAGGTTTTTCCCAAAGGAGAGTGGTTTTTGATCCGTGCGGTAGGCCAGATGCAAGTACTTACCTTTAGCCGACTGAGCACTGCTTTTCACTGGTTCTGGATGCCTGAGTAGACTCTCTGCCGCTGGGCCTCTCCCAATGTGGAAAACGCCTCCTGAGCGCCACTGCTTGCCTCACCGCGCACATGAGCTTATCTGGCCTGAAGGGCTCCAGCTCCCATTGAGTCAGGTCTGACAATGCCTCGCTGCTTCTGAGCCGTCTCTCCCTCCCCGCACCACTCAGTCCGATTCCTCAACTTTGCTTTTGATGTTCAGGGCTCCTAGATTGTCATATACAATTGATTCACTTGTTTTTTCGGGTCTTTGTTGTGAGAAGGACCACAGGAAGCGTCTGACTACTCTGCCGTGTTGGCCCTGCCCCCCCAGATATGTTACATTTAAACATTCATTAGACATCAAATAGAAGTGTGGCAGAGACATGTAGATGGGCAAGTCTGCAGTTCAGGGAAGATATGTCTTGGAAGAAATACAGCCAGAATTATTCTTAGAAGCAAGGATGGTGAGAGTACGTCTCACATACTTTGGACATGTTATCAGGAGGGATCAGTATCTGGAGAAGGACATCATACTTGGTAGAGAGTCAGCGAAAGAGAGGAAGACCCTCGGTGAGATGGATTGGCACAGTGGCTGCAGCAGCGGGCTCAAGCATAGCAACAATTGTGAGGATGGTGCAGGACTGGGCAGCGTTTCGTTCTGTTGTACATGGGGTCACTGTGAGTTGGAACTGACATGACGACACTTAACAACAACAACATTGTGGCCAGAATTGGAAGCCATCAGTGTAGAGGGTCCCAGAGATTGAGCTTCTGGGTTCTCTTATCATTAGAGAAGTCTGGTGGTGAAGAAGTAGCAGAGGAGACTGAAAGGAATCACTAGTGAGGCAAGGGGCCAGGAGAGTGCATGGTGCTGAGAGCTACATAGGAAAGGCAGGAGGAGGAACCAAAGTGACAAGTGTCCTGAGGAGTGAGGACTGCCTGTTGGGGTCAGCAGCATGGTGACCTTAGTGGGTAGGGAGGAGTGGAGAGAGAATAGGAGGGAACACAGTGAGTGCAGACAGCTCTATACTAAAAAAGCCAGCAAAGAAAAAAGGTGGTAGCTGGAACAGGATCAAGAGGTTGTTTTGGTTTTTTTAAAATGATGGAAGAGATAATAAGTATGTTTGTTAATGATCCAATAGAGGGAATATTTGATGTTGCAGAAGAGAGAGGAGATGGGATCCGGGGCCCAAGTGAACAAGTTGCTTTTGAGGGGAACACAGACATTCTTCCATAGCAGAGGAAGGAAGGCCAGGTGGGTGGTCCTGGGGGCTTGTGGATGTTCTCGCTAAATGCTTCTGTTTACTCAGTGAACTGGAAGCTTCCTCAGTTAAGAGTGAGGATGTTATATAATGAGTGATCGATAAATATGAATGAAGCTCTGGTCTTTATTCTGCTAGAACCAGCCCTGGGGATGAGGATGGAGGGGCTTCACAGGATCAGGGATGGCAGACGCAGAGCCCTGAGCACAGTGCCTGGCATGGGAGGTGCACGCAGTGGTAGCTGCTGCTGCTTCCCTGCTTGGCTGCCTCCAGGACATCTATCCCTGGACGTCCCTCTGGCACCTCAACCCAGCGTTTTCCCCAACAACCTTTTCTTCCTGTCCTGTTAGATACCAGCAAATTATACCACCTTCTCCCCCTACCCACCAACCATGTCCCCCACCAAAAATGCAGAATCTTTCTGGACTATTCCTTCTCTTACCGCATTCACTTGCTCTGTTGATTGGTCTCCTCAACCTCTCACTCCCCCACTGCCATCCATCCACCCCTGACAACCCTGTCCTGATTCTGACTTTATCTTCATTCAGACTTGACTCATACTTCTCAGTTTCTTAAAGACATGAAGTGGTTTCGTCCTTCCACTCCCCATGACATCCAGGATCCATCCAGACATTAGAAACCCTCCTGCCTGTCTCTGCTGCTTCTTCATCCTACCCAAGACACCTGCCCCTGTGCCTTTGCACATGCATTCTACTCGAAATACTTTTCCCCCACTTCTATGCCCAGCAGCCCTTTGTGGATGGAGAGGTAGCCCAGCGGGTTACTTTTCCTAATGGCATTTGCACATCCCTCAACAAGAGGGAACGGCCAGAATAAAATCCCCGGCTCTGTCCAGCCCTATACTTCTGGCCTTTCATAGAGTATCTCTTGTCATCCTCACTAGGAATAGTGGCTTCCTGGTGTACGTGCCAACAATGGATGGGACAGGCCTGTACCTTTACTCATGTCATCCCCAAAAGGCCCCCCTGAGATAGCAAGCAACCTCATCTCTATTTCATAGATGAGGAAATTGAGACACAGAGAGCTTAAGTAACTTGCCCAGGGTCACATAAGTTGGGGAGCCAGGGTTAGAACCCAAGCTGCCTGGTGCCAGAGGCTGCTCGAAGCCCCTCCTCCCAGAGTGCACTGTGATTGCCTACCTGCCCGGGGACTGGGCACCTCATTCCTCAGAGACAGAGGCTCAGGTGCCATTGTGGCAGTCCTGCCTTCACCGTGGGCCACTGCTAGGCCCTCTTCCCGGTCTGCTGCTAGAGCATCGAGGCTGGAAGAGCTGTGTGGGTCCCACAAATCTCTGACTTCTTCCCACACATACACAGGTTCACCCTCCTGGGGACATGGGGCGCAGAAAGTCAAAACGGAAGCCGCCTCCCAAGAAGAAGATGACAGGCACCCTAGAGACCCAGTTCACCTGCCCCTTCTGCAACCACGAGAAGTCTTGTGACGTGAAAATGTGAGTAGGGGACGGAGCAAGGGAGCCTGCCTCACAGGCCTCCCCTCTCCTCCCTCGGTCAGGAGGTGGCTCTTCCCCCAGGCTCCAGCCCATTTTCCATTCAGGGGCAGACTGGTCCTTTGCCTCCCAGTTGGAGTCATCAAGCACAGGTCTGTTTGCTCACCAGTCCTCTACTTCCTGCCTTTTCAGGGACCGTGCCCGCAACACTGGAGTCATCTCTTGTACCGTGTGCCTAGAGGAGTTCCAGACGCCCATCACATGTATCCTTGGATAACCAGACTTTCTCCAGCAGGTGGAGGCGGGGTGGTCAGGACTGCCCTGCCCAGGGCATACACTGCTCAAGGGCACCTGGCCACAAGGGAGGGGGCTGGAGTACAGCTCTTGCTCTGCTGCCCCTGCTGGGTGCCCTGTTATAGGGCTGCATCTGCCCATAGGTGCCTTCTTTTGATTTGCATGGGGTGACAGGGTACAGGGCAGGGGTCAGGCTGACACTGGTGTGAACAGCAGAGGTGTGTGCGGGAAAGGGGTTCCATGGCCACCAGATGCCCTTGACCTCAGTGACTCAGATCTCTCAGAACCAGTGGACGTATACAGCGATTGGATAGACGCCTGTGAGGCGGCCAACCAATAGCAGCACAGAGGACCCACCCCTCGTACCCACCCACTGGGTACTAAACCAGAGACATTCCAGGGGTCCCGGGTGTGGGTCCAGGGCCGTCCCTGCCCTCTGGGTGTGGGTATGAGTGTGTGTGGCTGGAGGCGTGTGTGAGGGTGACCATGAGTGTGTGTGTGTGCTGGTGGAAACGGTGGAGTTGAGTGGTTGCTGGGGCTGAGGGGCCAGAACCGGCCTCACAGGCTCAGAAGCTGTTGGCTTGCTCCCTTCTCCCAGTCCCTGACCCTCCCTGGCTTCAGGGCTTTGGCTCCTCCTTCCTGACATCCCTGGGTGCGGGGCAAATCCAGCAGAGGCTCCTCGGCCACCTCACCAGCACCTTGCCCATTTTAACTGGACTTTCCACCCTCCTTCCTTGCCTTCCAATGCCCAAGGCCTGGGATTTGAAGCCACAGTCCCACCAGGCCCCTTGGCTCCTATCTGGCGGGGCCCGACTACCTGCGTTAACCAGGAGACCTTGTTTCACTTTTAGTTGCTTTTGTAGAAGAAGAAGGGGCTGGGCTGGAAAAGCTGTCAGTCGTGAGTGCTTAAATAAAGTAGCTGGTGCCAGACCCCCAGCTGTCCGTGTTTCCCTGAGTTCTGGGCCTGCCTCAGCACCAGGGGCTCAGTGGGGAAGCCTTTGATTTCAGAGACAGCCCAGCGGCCTATTGGAGGTGGGAGTGGGTCATTCCTTCAAACTGTCCAATGTTTAATTCACCCAGCAGGCATTCAGGGTGAAGCGGGGTCAGTGCTAGGCATTTGGGACACTGAAGAACCAGACATCTGGCCAGGCAGTTACAATGACAAATGAGGCCAACAGGGCCCAGGGGAGGCGGTCAGGGAAGGCTTCCCGGAGGGGAGACATGACTAAGCTAACACTTGGTGTAACCCCATGCCAGGCGCTGCTCTCGGGGCTGACCTATGTTACCTCTTGCATCCCAACAGCAGCCCTGTGAGTGGGGTGCTGTGGTTAGCCCAGGCTTGCAGATGAGGAAACTGAGGCCAGAGAGGGGAGGTCTCTAGCCCAAGGTCCGACAGCCAGAAAGCAGCACAGCTGGGACTTGAACCCAGGAAGCCTGGCTCCAGAACCTTCTTTCTTCCTTATGAGTAAGACCAGTTGGGAGGGTGGGGCCTAGATTATGGGAGCAGCTCCTGGGCCATCCAGGAGGTGAGAGCACAGACTGAGGGCTGTGGGAGGAGGGAAACTGGAGAAGCGTCCATGAGAGAGGTTGCAACCTGTTTAGGAGGGTGGTGAGGAGTCTCAGGAAAACCCTGGTGGTGTAATGGTTAAGAGCTACAGCTGCTAACAAAAAGGTCGGCAGTTGGAATGCACCAGGCACTCCTTGAAAACTGTGGGGCAGCTCTACTCTGTACTATAGGGTTGCTATACAACGGGTTTGGTTTTGGTTTAGGAGGAGTCTCGGAAGGTGGGAGGCAGGGACTGGTCTGTGTGGCTGAGCACAGGGACAGCACAGTGCATTCACATGATCTCATGGGTGATGGGCTTTGACACCTGGTACCTGGGGGCGACTCTAGCTCCCCCACCTGGCCTCCTGAGCCTGAGCAGCAGGTGACCTATGCGTCGGTGTTCTCGGTGGTGCAATAGGAAGGATGCTAGGACTTCGTCCTGGGACTGTGCTGAGGATGAAAGTGCAGCTGGGAAGCACTGAGCACAGGCCTGGCACAGCCCGGGCAAGGGATGCACACAGGGCAGTGGGAGGTGTGAATGCCGAGCTGGCCCAGAAGCCCTGGCTGGTCTAGCGTGTGTCCCTCAGAGCCCACCCTGCTCTAACATGCCCCTCCCTGGTGTTCCTGCCTCCTCCAAGGCCCCCGGTAAGGTCCGCCAGCCCTGGCAGGGGTCAGAGGACGTGGGCAAAGCAGTGCGCAGGCACCGGGGTAGAGGTGCACTCAGAGGTCCAGTGAAAAGGGGGCTCGTTCCTGTGGCATCCAGGGCCCGCCCTCACTGCTGCCTGCCCACCCCAGTCTCACAGGCTAAGTGCTAATATGGTGCTGTTTTCCGAGGAACCAGGGCCCTGGGCCAGGCATGGGTCCTCGGCACAGCTTCCCCGCGCCAGCCCAGAGGGAGCACGACTCAGTGGTAGCCAGGCCCAGAGCGCCCGGAATCTGGTTTACAAGGCCCCAGGGGCAGTGTGCGTCTGTACACGTGGGCTCTGGTGTCTGTCTCGGCAAGTCTCCGTGTTCCAGCCTTGGCCCTTGCCCAGGGTTGAGGAGAGGGGGAGGAGAAGACTGCGCTGTGGCCTCCTCCCTGCATCGCTGCATCCTTGGAGCCCTGTCAGCTTCCAGGCAGGATGGCTGGGGCCTCCCCTCTGTAGGGAGAACAGTTCCCGTTCTCAGAGTCCCCTCAGAAGCGTGGGCAGGTTAGGACCCTGCCAATAGACAGGGTCCTGGGCTGCTGGCCAGGCTCAGGGCCCAGCCCGTAGAAGAGGGCTAAAGTGGGCCAGGCACACACATGCAGCCGTTCCCCGCTGCTCTATGCCAGTTGGTACAGGGCCATTGCCCTGAGCCCCCTACGTGCCCATCCCCCACCCTGGCCATTCCCCCGGCCCCAGCCATCTCTCAGTGATGCAGGGTAAGGGGTGGGAACCCCAGCTGTTGTCCATTCTCATTGGTTGGGGCCTGGACCTCACCAGTGGTTAAAGGTGTGCAATATCACCTCCTGTCTGCAGGCTTCCCCGCGGCCTCACAATGAACCCACTGTCCCATTTTCCCAGTGGGAAAACAGGCTCAGGGAGGGGAAGGGACTTTGTCACCTAGCTGGTGGCAGAGCCACAATTCACCTCCCAATCTAGCCTTTCCCAGGGCTTGGGGTCTTTCTCACTGTCTCAGCCCCCCACTGAGGTGGCCCTGTGATGCTGGTGGACACAGGCCCCAGGAAGAGTTGTGGGTGCTGAGCATGGGCAGGGGGCGTGTGTAGACATTGTGTAGGTGTGTGAGAGGTGTGTGTGTGTGTGTGTGTGTGTGTGTTTACATGTCGTGGCTGGGAGTGTGTACTGCATGTGTGAGTATGGGTAAACATGGGAGTGTGTGAGCTGTATACACAAAGTAATGCATGTGTGCAGATTTTGTGTGAGTAAGACAGCGTGTGTGTCCTCTTTAGCTGAGTGGCCATGAAGCTCAAGGGGAGGAGGGGATATATAGGAGGGTCGGGGGGTACGTGTGTATGTTTCAGGGTGTGTGTACGAGAAATGGAAGTATATCTGAATGGGCATGCCTGCGTGTGTGTTAGAGCCATACAGGCTCCCGGAGGCCTCGGGTGATTTTACAGCCATTTATTGTGCTCCAGTGAAATAGAAAAAGTGCTCGCGTTACAAACGCCGCTGTCACGTTCACATACGCCAGTCGCTGCAAACCAAACCGCGTGTGTCCGCTGAGTCTCTGGGCATGCAGTTTGCTCCCCTGTGGGAATGGGGTGGGGGCAGGCCAAGCCTGGGCTCTGGGGGCTTTGCTTGGGGGGCTTCTTGTCCTGGGGGCACCCACCTATGAGGGAGTCGGGGGACAGCCGGAATAGCCTTGCTCAGTGCATCCTTTGGGATGCTGTTGGGAACACCTGGCTCTATTTTGGACCCTGCAGTGCCCCCTTTCTTCCCACAGACCCCCCAGTCTGCTCTCCCCAAACTCTAACCCTGTAGGCAGGTGCCAGGGGGCTGGAGGACGCCATGCAGGGGACGAGGGTCGGCTGGGCCTGGCTGGGTCCGGCCGAGAGCAGCAGGCAGCCTCCAGCCCCTAGGCCGAGTTATAGTAGTTGTGCGGGTGCTGGTTGTGGGCGGGCTCTCCGAACTCCAGGTAGTCAGACGTCAGGCAGTACTTGGGGTCATAGACCTGGCGTGGCAGCCCGTACACTGTCATGCCCCGCTGCGAGGCCCCCTTGTTGCTGCCCATCTGCAGGCTGACGTTGAGCGTGTCGCAGTGCTCCATGCCCAGTGCCGGCTCAAAGATCTGCCGCTTGGTCCCGGGCGCGGTCATGCCAGCCTGTGGAGGGGCAGTCAGGTCAGATGGTAGAGACAGTGAGGATCACGGGCCCCACCAGCCCCTTCCGCTCCCCCCACACACCTGGCTGGCTCCCTTGTTGGTGCCCATCTGTAGGCTGATGGTGGCCTGGTCCAGGGGTTGGTCCGTGCCCAGCTTGGGGTCATAGAGGTGGCGCCGAGTGCCGTAGGCTGTCATGCCCTGCTGGCTGGCAAACTTGTTGGTGCCCATCTGGGAAGCAAGGAGAGTCACCCCAAGTGTTATACAGCCTCACGATAGGCCACGCAACATAACTGAGCTCACTGGGTACCTACACAGCACTCTCATTGAGGCACTGTGTCTCCCTCGTGTACAGAGAGCACACTGAGGCCCAGAGAGGACATGTCACTTCCCAAGGGCACATGACCAATAAGTGGCTCAGAGCACCAGGGTTCAAGTCCAAACCCACCACTCATCCACTGGAGATCTTGGCCAGTGAGCTACTTTCTCCTGGCCTTGGTTTCCTCGTCTGTATAAAGGACATGATGATAACAGTACCTGCACCCTAGGGTTGTTGGAGGATTAACTAGGTTAGGGTACAGAAAGTGCTTAGCACAGTGCCTGGCATATAGTTTAGTTAATACCAAATATGGTGTCTCCAAAAGGGTGCCCCCCTGGTGTCCTTGACCTGCCCCTCAGGTCAGCAGTGAGACTCAGGAGCAGGCGGTACCTGCAGCCCAATGATGTTCCGCCCTTCTCTTAGCTTCTCCGGTTCAAATTTCCGTTCCTGCTTGTCTGCATATTTCACCCCCACATCCACCTTGTTTCCTTTCGTCTTGGCCTGGGGAGGTTGAAGGCAAAGACTGCTGAGGGCGCCTCTGGGCAGCATTGTCCCTGTGGAGACTTGTTTGCAGCCCCTGCTCCACCCCTCCCACCTGTGCTGGGCTTGGCCACGAGGGGCCTATTTGCATCCCAGGCTGGGCAGTGCACAGCTCACCTTCTTGGCGTCCCCTTCCAACCCCTCCTTGGTGCCCATCCTTCACCCACACTTACCATGCTTGCCAGGGCCAGGAGGGTGGACTGTACTTGGGTATGGTTAGTGTTCTCAAACAGGTCATTGGCCTCAAAGATGTCGTGGGGCTTCACCCCATACTTGGTGATGGCCTTGATGAAGTTGCCGATGTTCTCCAGCTGGTGGGGATCAGGCAGCGGTCAATGGTGGGAGGTTGTGGGAGTGGGTGGAGTTCTCAGGGGCTTGCGGGCAAGGGTTGAGAGAGGTTGAGTCTGGGCTCACCTGGTGCCAATTTTGGGTTGACTCATTTACCTTCTTCACAGAGCCTGGCTGGAGCTTATTGATGAACCTACAAAGAATAGGGGAGTAGAGTGACAAAGGTGACCCTTTCCTGCCCCCACCCATGTCCAGCCCATTGTGGGAGGAGGTCAGGATGACAGTCGGTGGCAATAGCCATCTTGCTGTTCCCCGCTACAGTTATCCCAGCTGTCCACCAACAGCACCAGTTGCCGTCAAGTTGATTCTGACTCATGGCGACCCCGTGTGTGTCAGAGTAGAACTGTGCTCCATAGGGTTTTTAGTGGCTGATTTTTTCAGAAGGGCGTAATGGTTAAGAGCTGGGCTGCTAACCAAAAGGTCGGCAGTTCAAATCCACCAGCCGCTCCTTGAAAACCCTATAGGGCAGTTCTACTCTGTCCTATAGGGTCGCTATGAGTCAGAACTGTCTCGACGACACCTAACAACAAGATGCCAGGCCTTTCTTACCAGGCACTACTGGGTGGACTTGAACCTCTAGCCTTTCAATTAGCAGCTGAGCATATTAACCATTTGCACCACCAATGGACTCCCTGTCAGCTGAAACCCTGCCAGACCACCCTACACACGCTGTCAGCTCTGAGATGGGAAACCAGCCACAGGAAGCTAGACTCAGGTCCCCAATCAGAAAGTGTCCTTATATATAAGGTATGTTCCTGCACTTTCTGGTGGCCACGCCTCAGTCTGCATTGCCAACCTCTATACAGCAGAGAGCCCACAGCTCAGGCCTTGGGCTTCTTCTCTGACTACACTCACCCGCTTGATCTCGTCCAGTGTCTTGGCTCTAAATGCCATCGATACACACAACTCCCTTACCTCAACCCAGGCCCCTCACTCTCAAATCTAGCTCCCTACATAAGCATCTCAAATCAGACATACCCCACTCCAGCCTTCTAATGCCCAACTCCCCCCAAAACTCAGTCCTCCCTCATTCTCCTCATCTCAGTAAACGGCAACACCATCTTTCCAGGTACTCGGCCAAAGCCCATGGAGTTGTCCTGACCACCTCCTTTCCCCTTGTGTCACCTCCACGTTCAGACCCTCAGCAAGACCTTTGGCTCTGCCTCTTGAATACGTCCAGAGGCCACTGCTTCTCACTGCCTCCACCCTCCACCTTAGCCTGAGCCACCAGTGTCTCTCACCTGGGCTCTGACAGTGGCCTCTCCATGAGCTCCCAGCTTCGACATTGTCCGCTACAGACCTGTCTTCATCTAACAGCCAAAATGACCTTTTTAATACAATCCAAACTACTCCCAGTTCAAAATCTTCTAATGGTTTCCCCTCGCCTTCAGCATACAATCCTAACTCCTTAGCGTGAGGAAGGCCTCTAGTTAACTCTGTGTCTTCATCTCCCTCCACTTCCCCTCACTTATTTAGTGCTGGCCATGCTGGCCTCCTCACTGTTCTTTGAACTCACCAGACATGTTTCCATCTCAGGGCCTTTGCATTGGCTGTGCCTTCTGCCTGGAAACTTCTTCCCTCAGATATCCTCACAGCTCCCTCCCTCACTTCATCCAAGGCTCTACTCAAATGTTACCTCCACAGGCCTTCCCAGACCATCCTATAGAAAATAGCAGAACACCCCTCCCTCCCAACTCGTCTCCATAGCACTTACCTCTACAGGCAAACCAAACTAAACTCATCGCTGTTGATTCCGACTCATAGCAACCTCTGCAGGCAAGTATGTGCTTATTGGATTCCTTGTTTACTGTCCATCTCCCTTCACTGGAACTGAAGCCCCATGAGCATAGAGACTCTGATTGGTTCACTGTCCCCAGTGCCTAGACCAGTGCTTGGCACAGAGCAGGAGCTCCATAAACACGTTGTATGAATGAATGAATGACTCAGGCTTGAGCAGCCTCATGTCTGAGCTGGGACACAAGGGTGGCCCTCTTGTTACCCTGTGTCCTCATTCCTTGTTGCTGGTGGATATGGAATAAGAGTCCACCTCTGGTGCCTGGGACTTGGTAAGACTATGCCTTCAGAAAGTTTCCCAAAGAGGCACTGGCCCTCATGGTCACCCCAGCTCAGGTCACACTCAGAGACGCAGGTGGGGCCTGGGCTGGGGTCAGAGCTCCTCTTAGCATTAGCTGGGATGGAATCCGGGATGGGGAGATGTGAGGCTTGCATCCCCCTTGGTGATTAGGTTCCGAGGTGAGTAGAGAATCAGGACCCACTTAAATTACTGTGGCACATCCATCACATCTCTAAGCCAGGGATGAACAGCTGTTGTTGCTTGTTGCCTTTTAGCAGTGACCTCTCTTGTGACTCTGGAGGCCACAGATAGGACTGCCCTGTATAGCACTATGGTTAAGATTAGATTCTGGAGTTGTTTTGGTTGGAATAGTGTGGGACTTCGGGCAATGTGCTTTACTTAACTGAGCCTCAGTTTTCTTTGTCTGTGAAATGGACACAATGATTACTTGCCACCTCAGAAGACTGTTTTGAGGTATCAGATATAAAGCCCCCAACACAGCTCCAGGCTCATGGTTGCTTAGGGGATTGAGGGAGAAGAGATGTGTGCCTGGGTTGGGGATACCCAAGGCAGGGTCTGGGCCATGAGCATCCCACTCACTCGCAAAGAATGATGCCATCTTTGAGGCCGTCCATAAAGTTGTTACCAATGCGACGTCCTGTCACCCCCTCGATCCAAGCACGCAGCTCCTGCTCCCGCTGGTGGTCGTACTTCTGGGCCAGCTGGAGTTGGGGGCACAGAGAGGGTGGTGAGGACACAGTGCAGAGTGGGCTTGGCTCCCTGGGCCCAATCCAAAGCTCCCTAGGCCTGTTCTCCTTCCTCATCCCTTCCCAACTAAGGCAATTCTGTGCCCATTGGGGTGGGCTGAGGGCCAGGAGTGAGGTGGCATCTGCCCAGGGGGCCATTCCGGGCATTCTGAGGTTTGGCACCAGAGAATGCAGACAAGGGGGAGGTGCTGGGTCTCCTGGTTCTCCGTCCAAACTTGGGGCTTAGCTTCCCCTGTCCCTACTCCTCTCTACTCCCTACCCTTCCACCCCCCTGTTAGAAGAGGGGTGCCTCAAGCAAGGAGGCAGGAGACCTAAGAATGTGCCCCTAAATCCAGTCTTTGTCTTACATCTCTGTGTCTCTCGGTGTCACGCCGGGTCCACATCTCTCTGGGGCTCTCTCTCAGGTTGAGGGTGGGGGCTGGTCTTTGTCTTAGTGTTACCTCTGACCCCTGGTGTGTCTGTATTTCTCTGTCTCTCCTCATCCACTGACTCCTATGTCTCTCCCCCAGCTCTCTGTTTTCTTGGCACGTCTTGGTGGCCCCATCTCTCTGGTTCTATACTCTGACTTTAGGGAGGGGATTGGGCTTCCTTCCATCTCTTTCTCGGTCTCTGACTGCAGTTCCCTCCCTCTGGTGGGGGCTCGTGGGGCTCCTCTTTCTGCCTCTCCATCTCTGTCTCAGTCTTTATCTCGCTCCTGTCGCATCTTCCCTCCCCGTCCGTTTCTCTCCTGCCTCTGTTTCCCAGTATTTCTCTCTGCTCTTCTCCCCACTTTGCCCCACCCCCCTTCTCAAGAACTCTCCATCCCAGCCTAGATAAATTCCTAGTCCTTGGGGGTCGGGCTGCCCCCTTTTCCTGGGTAAGACGGTGAGGGATGTGGGAGGCAGCAGCCCCCTCACCTGGCCCTGCTGCCCCCCTTCCCCACCAGCTCGGCTTTATAAAGCAAACCAGCCCTTATATAGCGCGCCTGGCAGGCCGGGCTCCCTGAGGCCACCTTATATGGCGTGGCAGCTCTGCGCGGCGCCGGGGCCAGCACTGGGGGTGGGGGGTGGGGGTGCCGCTGGGATCTGTCTCCAAGCAAGCACCCGCCCCCCTCCTCCAGTCCCAAGGATCCCCCGGCCCTGTTTCCAATCCCAGCTCTTGTCTTCCTTGTTGTGGGACCCTAGGAAAAGCCACCCTGAGCATCAGTGTTCTGGCTGTCCAATGCGGCTGGGACTCCTCCCCTGGCAGCACTCATGGGAGGATTCCAGTGGGGTGCTGACTTCAAGTTCCCTCCCCTGGAGAGGCTGACCCCGTCCTGACCCCAAGTCCAGGGTCAGGGCTCTGTACCTGCCTCATGTGGGACCCTGGCTACATGCCTCTCCTCTCGGAACCTCAGTTTACCCATCCATAGGAGATGCCTGCCATGTCCGGGATGCCCACTCCCTGCCTTCCCCAGCTACCTCCCTCTCCCGCCATGAGCTCCCACACTTTCTGGGCCTCACTCCCCAGGAACCTGAGTTCTCAAGCCCTCCCTCCAATTTCTTTGTCAGGCTGGGAGTATGGGGAAAAAAAAACAAGTGGGTACCACGTCCTCTCCAGGAACATAAAGGGTTAACAAGACTCTGATCAGGTGGGGATCTCCTTTGATCTGTGTCTGCCTTCGTGCCGTCTATTCAGCCCCCCAACAGTGGCTGAGGGCTCTGGATGCTCAGGGGAGGGAGGAAGGCAGCAGCCACCCCGGGTCTCTCCCCCTTTCCCTCTCAGGTTCCAAGTCACGTGGAATAGACAGGAGGGGGTTCAGGGATGCCCTCCAGCCCTACCTTGTTCTTGACTTCGGCTGACAGCCCGTAGGCAGGGCCTCGGTTGAAGTGAGCAGAGGACATGCTGGCCGGTGGGCTCTGATGGGCGGAGGGGACACTGATGGCAAGGACTGCGGCGGCAGCTGAAGCTCCGTCTGCACGCTCTTCCCTCCTCACACGTTTTTGAAGCTCCGGAGGCGGCCCGGGCGTCTTCCAAAGCTGTCTCATTGGCCACAGGGGCCTGCCAAGGGGCGGAGCGCCCCCCCACCCCCACCCCAGCCACCACCCCACCCCCCCGTGATGTCAGGCCCTTGGTATTGGGAGCTGATTGTGTCATTGTTTCCACCTAGGGGGCAGCTTGGGTTATTCTTGGGGGGGCTTGGCCAGAGACCTCCAATGCTCCAATATGCCTCCCCCCCCCACTGTCCACTGGGCCCCTGACTGGGTCTCTGAATCTCTTTGTCTGTGTCTCTGAAGCCATCTCTCCATGATCTGAGGTCATCTCTCTGGCCTGTCTCTCTCCTCCCTTAAGGCAGGACTGTCGCCTGTGGTAGTTTAGTGGGCATCACCCTGGGTTTAACTCTAGGCACCAACAGTCCGTAACCTCAGGCAAGTCCCCTTCCCTTCTCTGTACCTCTATCTCCACATCCGTAAAATGGGCTAATGATAGTGCCTGCCTCATAAGGGTGTTGTGTTGACCAGAAGAAATACTCCCTCTACATGCCCAGCATCTGAGGGCCTGGACTCAGGCAATAACATTGTTTCTGCTGAGGATCTGGCACCCCAGTTCTGTCCCCTCCAGATCCTCATAAGATCCTAGGGGAGCAGAGATCTGGGCCCCTTCCTATGGATCGCCTGCACCACAGGGTGACTGTGCCAGTGGGTCCCAGGCGGCCATGAACACCCCCCTAAGTCCCTGTCGCTGCCAGGCCAGCCTGGAAGGGGCACCTGCAAGCAGCTCTGCCTGGACCATGGGAGTGGATAACACACCAACACTGGGCCACATATGTCAAGCTGGTGATGGTGACACTTGGATGACGGTGGCTTGCCATACACTCATGATATGTTAGGGACATGCTAGTTTGCTGGCCACATGCTGAGGGCACAGCTGTGATACACTAATATGACAATAGCGCGTATGTCAGGCCATATTCCAACTGCTACATGTCTGTCAACTCAAGCCTCATAACACCCTAAGAGGCGGATGCTGCTATTATACACACTTTGCGGATGGGGAAACAGAAGCACAGAAGCGTGGAATCACTTTCCCAATGCCACATTGCTTGCTAGTGGGAGAGCAGGATTTGAATCCAGGCCACATCCTACTGCTATGAGGCTAAGGCAGGGTTTCTCAACCTCAGCACTGTTGACATTGAGGGCTGGTTAATTCTCTGTTGTGGAGTCCTTCTTAGGACTTCAGCAGCATCCCTAGCCTCTACCCACTAGATGGAAGTAGTACTCCCCAAGTCGTGACAAACAAATGTCTCCAGACATTGCCAAGTGTCCCCTGAATGGGGGTAGATCACCTCTGTTTAAGAATCACTGAGCTAAGATACTGGAGTTCCTAGGTGGGCAAACGGTTAAGTGCTTGACTACTAACAAAAATGTTGGTGGTTTGAATCCACTCAGAGGTGCCTTGGAAGAAAGACCTGGCAATCTACTTCCAAAAGATCAGCCACTGAAAACTCTATGGAGCACAGTTCCGATTTGACTCACATGGTGTCATCCTGAGTCGGAATCAAATGGATGGCAACTGGTTTGTTTTGTGGGGTGTTTTTGGGTGGGGTGTGGGGAGGCTAAGGTTATATGCTAAGGACAAGTTGATGGCATATAATGATATGTTGAAGACACTAAAATACATTAAATGAGCTAATAATTAGTGCCCGGTGGCACAATGGTTAAGAGCTTGGCTGCTAACCAAAAGGCCAGCAGTTAAAACCCTATAGGGCAGTTCTACTCTGTCCTATCGCATCGCCATGAGTCAGAATCAACTCCATCGCAAAGGGTTTTTTACATGCAGGCGCTTTTCTAAGTGCTTTGGACCTATTAACTCAGTCCTCACAACAGCCCTGTGAGGTAGGATCTGTGATTATGCCCGCTCGACAGATGGGAAAGTGAGGCACAGAGAGGCGAAGCCGACTGCCCGGGGGGCGCACAGATCGAACGTCGCCGACCAGGATCGAACGCGCGGAGGCAACTTGCTACTGCCAACGTTCAGCGACCCTCGGAGGGCCACAGATCGCTACTGCGCATGCGAGGACTGGCGCCTCGGTCGAGTTTGCGGCTGGCGCCCCCTGGTGGCCCAGAAGAAACGGGAGCGGCGTCCGGTCTGCAGTGACGCGCGGTGCTGACTCACTCGGCCGGCTCTCCGGTCCGCCGCTGCTTGGCCATTTATAGAATCCGCGCGGGCTCTGAAGTCACAGCCCAAGCACGACGGGGGCGGGATGGGGGGAGCTCTTGGCATGCCCCTCAACGGGACAGCCCGGGGTCCCCCTAGGAGGCGGCCCTTTCCGGGTCTGTCTCATCCTCCAATTCTGGATTTGTCTCTGTATCGCTTGCTCTGTCTCTTGGTCACTGTCTGTCTCAGTGTCGCCTAGCCTTTTTCGGACTCTACCTTTGTCTCTCTCTGGGTCTGTATGAATCTGCCTGTCTCACTGTGTCTGTCTCTCCATTATCTCCCCATCTCTGTGTCTCTGTGTTTCTGTTCCTTGTCTCTGGATCACTGTTTTTCTTGATGTCTCTGTCTTGTCTCTGTCCCTCTCTCTCGTAGATAGGGGTAGAGGCAGAGAGGGGCTCTCGGGACCGCCCCCCATCCCATCCTGAGGCTCCAACCCTAGGGGACGTCCCCATCACTTACTGCCATACACTGCAGTCCCCTACTCAGCTCCTATCTGGTGATTGATTCCAGCGCTCAGCCCCTTAGTTTCTCATCTAAATGAGAAGTGTCAGACCTGGTAAGGAACAGGGCTTTCCCAAGGGTCCAGGGTAGTCAGAAAAGCCCCGCCCTGCCTCCTCACACCTGGGGATCCCTAAAACCTTCCTGACTCTCAGAACCGTTTAAAACATACACAACTTTATACCTGGATGTCTCGGGGAAAGAGTCATGGCCTCCCACCCTGCACCTGCTAATCTTGGTGGCCCTGCTCTGCTAGTCCCCTCCTCACCTAACTTTCCCTCCAGAAAGCAGGCAGAGGCTGGTGTTCACAATGGCTTCCGCTTCAGGAAGATCCCTGTAGGCCAGGCACAGTGCCTAGCACAATCTCCTGTAGTCCTCACCACCATCTCAGGCAGGAAACTATTAGGCCATCTTACAGATAAGGGAGCTCAAGGTTTAGAGAAGGAGCCCTGGTGATGCAGTGGTTCAAGCGCTCAGCAGCCAACTGAAAGGTCGTTGGTTCGAACCCACCAGCCACTCTGAGGGAGAAAGATATGGCAGCCTACTTCAGTAAAGATTACAGCCTTGGAAACCCTATGGGGCAGTTCTACTCTGTCCTATAAGGCCACTATGAGTAGGAATTGACTGGACAGCAGTCAGTTTGGTTTTGGTTTTATAATGCTATTAACTAAACTCCTGACTTCATTCAGATTTCCCAGTGTTTCCACTGATGTCCTCTTTCTGGTCCAGGTCAAGTCTCCTCAGTCTCCTCTGGTCTGTGACAGTTCCTCAGTCTGTCCTAGTCTTTCACGACCTTGACACTTTTGAGGAATACCAGTCAGTTATTTTGTACAATGTCTCTCAGTTTGGTCTGTCTGATGCTTAGATTGAGTTTTTGCAATTACTGGGAAGGACACCTCTGAGGGGAAGTACCCTTCTCATCACATCACGCCAGGGTGTTCATGATGTCATTACGTGTTATCACTCGTGATGTTAGCCTTGGTCCCTTGGTTAAGGTGGTGTCTGCCAGGATTCTCCACCATAAAGTTGCTATTTTCCACAAAGTTGTTTTGAGGACTGTTTGTTAAAGAGTGTTGTGTTCTGTGCTAATAGAAACACATTAAATATGTAAATACCTGTGTTTTAATTTACTGTTTCTGGAAGAATAAATAAGAACCGTGGTCGCCTCCAGAGCGGGGCCATCCCTGCCCCTGCTGGCCCCAACCCGCGCCCAGCCAGGCAGAGCGAACTGCGCGTAGCTAGGCGCCCCAGCAGAGGGCAGTATCGTGCCCCTCAGTTGCCCACGTGGCTGTCAACGTTTTGGAGAGGTGGGGCACGAGCCCTCCGCAGCCGGCAGCTGATTGGCTAGAATGCCTCTCAGCTCGGCCAATCACAGAAGTCCAAACAAGGCGGATGTGCCGCGCCTGAGCAGAGTCTTTGCGGCATCCCAGGGGTGGCTACCTGTCTACACGTGTCCGTTCACCTGTGTCTCGGGGTCCACGGGACTGCAAAAATGACTTTTTGAGGGTGAACATTCGCCTGGCCTGGGGCCACTGCTACTGCCAAGAGCCTGCTTTATGTGCTAATTCACCTATGTTGTTGGGCTTCTCTAGGTGGGGGAGCCCTGGAGGCCCTCCCCAGCCTGACTTCATCTCTAGTACATTCCCCCGCAATTCACTCCTCTCCAGCCACACAAGACCTTTGCCATTGCGGTTGCCTGTGCCCAAAGTGTTCCCAAAATAGCCAGATGGAGCACTCTACTCCTTCAGGCCTTTACTCAAAGATGACCCCAGAGAGGCCTTCTCTGACCACCCTGTTGCAAACTGCACACCTCTCTTGCACCTCCTCTCTTTCCCAGCTTCATTTTTCCCTATATCACTTTTTCAGTATATTTTTAAAATATGTATATCATGCATACTTATTCAATCTGTATGCGAAGCAAATAATCCAAGAAGCTGGACTATATGAAGAAGAATGTGGCATCAGGATTGGAGGAAGACTCATTAACAACTTGCGACATGCAGATGACACAACCTTGCTTGCTGAAGATCAAAGACTATACAGCCTTCAGTACGGATTGCACGTCAATATAAAGCAAACAAAAATCCTCACAACTGGACCAATAAGCAACATCCTGATAAATGGAGAAAAGATTGAACTTGTCAAAGACTTCATCTTATTTGGATCCACAATCAATGCCCATGGAAGCAGCTGTCAAGAAAGCAAAGGACATAGTGCATTGGGCAAATCTGATGCAAAAAAACCTCTTTAAAGTGTTC